GAACTGAGCTCCTCCTTCCCTCTCGCTCCAGCCCCTCCATGCCACCCAGGGCTACAGCAACTCACACCCCCTCCTTCAATCTACCCTTTTATAGTCAGACTACAATCCTTCTTCCAAAAATAAATCGACCTGAGGAGAGGCCAGAGAAAACAAAGTTGAAAAGTTTTATACTTTCATTATTCAGATATGAGACATTAGTTGGACAGATTTATCGGCCCATTTTTACAGACTCCCCTACAAATAAATAATTTTAGGGTATGCCCAAATTACTCAGCCTCTTGACCCAACATGTTTTTGCAATTACTTGGCACAACTGTATGCTACTTAAATTAGGTAACAGTCACCAAGTTATTTTTAGGCCCTAGCAACACACACACACACACACACACACACACACACACAGCTATACCTAGCTTATTATTTGTATTCTATTCTGTAGAATCAACAGTCATAACATTGAGCTACACTTACTGAGAGCTTCCCACATACAAGGAACTCTGGAACTCTGCTGAACATTTTACAAGCATTAATTCATTGATTTCCTAAGTGAACACAATGACAGAGAGTGGTTGTTACAATGAGGAGGCCAGGGCACTAAGCAACTTGCCCAAAGGCACTGGAAAGGAAAACCCAAGAAGAGAACTTGGGTCTGCTGGTTCCACTCTTCTGCCTAAATTTCTCCACTGTCTTTTTACAGAGCTAATATTTGGCATGTAGCCTTGGGTTTTAATCAGCAGCTCAGAATAACACAGTAAGTTTGTGAATCCAGATAATTCTTTAGAAACAAAAAGTTCTCATCACATCTCAGAGAAACAAGGGGAATCTGTTATCCCTTCCTACCCTAAAAGTAGAGCTACGATATTTTCACAAGGTCTTACCATAACTTTCCCACCATCATCTAACTCAGTACTACCTACTCCTGAATATTTCAGAACCTAGAACCCTTTTTGATTAAGGAAAGATGTGAGGCTCAGGGGTTTAAAAGGAAGGTTATTTATTGATTTCTTTTTTTTTGCCATGTAGAACATGAACTTATATTTTTTCCTAAGAATAGATTCTTACATGTTCTTTTTATTCTACTTTAAAATAGTTCAACCATGTTTACATCTTCAGTAGAAAAACATTTATAATATAAAAATGTACACTGGAGAAGAAGAGGAATTTTTTAGTGGAAATTAACTCACTGTGTTTGACTCCTCTCTCTGCATCAGCCTCTTAAACTACATCCCTTTCTCTCGTTCCTTAGACCCCTTTCAAAAGGCCCCTAGTACAGAGCAGAGCTGTATAACTCCCTAGTAGTTAGTCATTCAGTCTCTCTCTGTTTTGTTATAGCCTGTAGCAAGTACAGGCCTGGACTCGGACATTCCACTTCAGAGATGGGAGAAAGAGACACCCTCCCAGGGAGCTCCTGGAGGGGGTGGAGGGTTCGTAGACCCAAGAGCCAGTGGCATTTAGTTTTGAAAAACACTCAAGGGCAGGTACATGATACTAAGTATTTAGCAGTGAATATGTCCATGCCACCCTATAAAATACTCCCAGCTTCATTAAGTTTCTAATACTGACTCTGAACATTAGAATATTGCTTACATTCTAAAATATTTCAAAAAAAAATGAAGGGAAGGCAAATAGGGAAAATACTTTTTGAACCCGGTTGATAAGCATAAGGGTGTTCATTATATACTTCAATTGGTTCCTAAATGTTTGAAAATTTTTATCATAGAGCTTTAAAGGCCTATGTTGCTCTTAAGGAGAGGTGGTAGTAGACTCTCCCTTCCTATATGCACAAAAGATGAATAATTTTGCTGAACCCAACTCTGCCAAAAAGGAAAGTAGCCTTATAAACAGAAGAGCGAAAATGGTGGCTCTAATTTTAGGTCAAGAACTGTCTAGCCTTCTTAGGCTAGAAACCAAGTTAGAGTTGATTCAAAATCAACTGTAGGTGGAAAAGATTACAATTCTTTCAAAGATTGCAAATCTCTAAATACTTATTCAGCTGGATCACTCTGATCAGGTCAAACAGAAGCAAGGGTCTGAGGAGAATAAGCCAGATTCAGTCCCAGGTCAGAACAGGGCGAGGACGATAAATTAGAACAGTAACTTAATCCCAGGGGCTTCTGTGCCACTGCTCAGCTTCCTCCCAACCTGATACTTCTTGACTAGAGAGCTCCAAAACTGGAGAACATGGCATTGAACCTGGGGAACATAAAACCTGGACTAGGAGGGTAGCAACAAGTGTTTACAAACATGAACAAGTCTCAGATCGATCAGGCATCTCTGAAAAATCTCTTAAAATAAATCAAGGCTTGGGACTTTCTACCATATCCTCTAACCATCTACACTCCCCCACCCCAATCACACATTTCCTACAAAATTCACTCATTCCAAAATGGTACGACGCCCGTACTAACTGAAATACAATCTTAGATCACCAAAGAGGGGAGTCCCAAAATAAACCTCAGAAGAGCAGCCAGATGAAGATGGTTGCTTTGACCCACTCAACTTGGAAGAAGTACATGGTGCCTGTTGAGAGAGACAAACCCAAGCCCTTGCCTTAATGACCTTAATGACGCTATGATATTAACCTGTAGTTCACCCAGATAAGAAGGTAACAAGAGACCGTCTAACAAGGCTCCATCACTTTCCCCTCTTCCCTATCTTGGTCCTAATTTTAGGCCATTCCTCCGAAAGACACCAAATTAGCAATGGCAACAAAGATAACAAAGTAGATGACAGTCCTTTTGTTCCTGGACTACATATATATTCTCAACCAAATTCCCAGAGATTTGAAGAAGAATCCCCCCAAAACTACAAATAACCCAACCTCTACCACCAGAGTGTCTTCCAAGCAGGCGGCTTCCGAGTCGCACCAACCCGAAATGACATGATGAGCCCTTGGCGCAGCTGCCCAGGGCGCCTGGCGGTGAGGTCAGCAGTGCCCAGCCCCGCCCCACTGAGGCAATCTTAGTCTGCTACTGAGGAACAAGTCCAGACTGCCGGTATGGTATCAGCTACGTCTACAGGGATGGGGGAGAGGAACCCCACCTTCCTCAGTAGCCCTCAGGAGAGTTGCTTCTCATTGCTGACAGGCCACCTCTCCACTCAACAAGGACCACAGCAAATCATAGGGTAGGATGCATAGCATCTCCTAATCAAGCCCTTGTTCAAGTTCAGAGTCCTAAATTGACTGTGTGATACTGTGATACCTCTTCTCAGATCACCTAGACCCAAATGGGCTGGGTTTTTTTGTTTTTGTTTTTGTTTTTTAACCAAGAGTATCTCATCGACAGGAGAAAAAGAAACCAGCAAGACTATTTGTCTTGGTCCCCTAAGACAATTTTACAAGTAGGAAATCTGTAGATGGTGTTTTCTCATCTGCAAAAGGCAAGACAAGATCATGCTGAAAGAAGACCAGCAGGGTAAATCCATTGGGAAATAATAAAAGTCAACCAAACAGAATACAGAAATAAAATAGGAGCTGAACAGCAGAACCCAGAACATATCTGTGACTCCAAGAAAACTTATTGCCACCATCAGAATACTGTCTAGAGCTTCCAGAACTTTTTGCATATAGTTCTACATGTTTTCCTTGTCCTCGAAGTTCACATGCCCTGAGGAAAGATGAGTCTTTGTGACAGTTGACCCTAGTGATAGCAAAGAATTGGAACGTGGGACAGGGCAGAGCAAAGGAATTCATAATCAAGTTCCCAGGTGTACTGCAGACTGCATCATTTGGAAAGCAAGAAGAATGGGTTAGAGCTGTCCCACAAACATAAATAACTAGCTAGCTGCCTCAACAACCCATTTCAATTTAAATGTGCAAAGAGGCAAAGAGCTGAAAGGAACCCAACAACAACATTGATCAACACACTTTAGGACACTGGCTGGAGATGTGATCCCTCCCCCTTCCCAAATGGCTCAAAACACAAGAGGAGTTAAAATGGGAGAGAGAGAGAGACGTCATCTGTCTACACTTGCTATGCCATTCATAAAATTAAAGAAAAAAGAAAAAAAATTATGAAAGAGAGAGAGAGAGAGAGAAAGAGAGAGAGAGAGAGAGAGAGAGAGAGAGAGAGAGAGAGATTGATTACCATTCTACACCAGTACCAGGTAGAAGATGTTGGAAGCAGAGTGATGCTCAGAGCTTCAAAAGACAATGTTGGAGGACAAAGGGACAAGTGGACTGTGTACAAGGTCAGGGCAATGATGCATGGAAGCTACACTGAGAAAACGGAGACATTTGTTGCTTTTCTTGGGGACATAACTCCAATCACTGCAGTTATCTGACTTCAGGGGAGAGTGACCCATGACTCCTTCTTGGGAGGGAGAAACCAGAAGTCAACCACTGTCAGGTGAGGCCAATAACAGCAGTAAGAGGGTATTTCATAAAAGTGTTTCCATCCCCTTGGAGCGTTGGCAGAGGAATGCATATATTTGGTGAACTCACACTTTCCATGGGGTCTTGAAACAAAGATCTCTGCCCTTCCTGAAGATCACTTTACAAACGATGTAAAAGTCAAGCTGGTCAGATAGGTGAGAGACGGGAAGAGCTTTCCCACACAAAGAACTAGGGCCCCTTCAGAGTCACTTGTTTTGCACCATAGGTATTGCCTCCTCTGGTCCATCAACTTTGGTTAGGGATGACAGACAATAACTTCCCAACTACTTATGGACTGAAATAGAGCTACCAAACCAGGCATGACTTGACATACCATCTTAGTAGTTATAAAGCTCTTTGAGGAAGATGAGAAAACCATCTCAGGTTGAAATGTCTTAGACAATGCAATTTAGAAGTTGGATCAAGGCTGGGACCAGAATCATCTGGCTTTTCTTATTATACTATAATGTTAAGAAAAAGATGGAAGAGAGGACACAAGAAGAAAAAAGGTTATTGTGGTTCTTAGTGACTGGGGAAAGGAGAAGATGACCACTTCTAAGAGATTCCCAGAAAGGAGTCCAGCAGACCAAGGCGGTGCATGGGAAAGAAGTGGGGGGATCATTACCTTTCAACACCAGAGGCTCCTTGCCTTCTCTCTTCAGGGACTCCAGGACTATGTGAAGTGGCTGGGATGGCATCACTCGACTTGGCTCATTGGTGTTCTCATCATAAACTATAATTTCTTTGGAAAAGATCCTCTTAAAAGAGTCTTTGCCTTCCCTACAGGAAATCAAGTCTAAGACGGTGATCTTGCCCTGCTGCAGCCTCCGCCGGCTGATCTTGTCGGCACAGTTAATGTGGACAGCTCCTTGGATGTGACTCTTGTTGTACTCCATGAAGGGCCTGCAGTCAATAATGACAGGTCCTTGGCTGGGCAGGTGACTCTTGCTGCATTTGGTCATCTTCTTTGCCAAGTCATTGGGGTAGATGATTTTGATGCTGGCTAGCTGCTTGGGGGTCCCTGACACAGGGCTGCCCACCCCACCTGATGGACTTAAAGAGCCTGTATTCTCATCGTTGTTGACCATCTGGTTAGCAGGGCAAGTAGTCGAGGGTCCAATGGCGGTGGCAGCGGTGCCGGTGGCAATGGCCTGATGATCCTTGTCGTAGGTTGTCACAGTACAGCAACTAGTACTGCTGCATCCACAATTCAGGGAGCGGGCAGAGCCGCTGGATGAGGGCATATACGTCAGCTTCGCAGCCTTGAGGGTCACAACGGCGGTGGCAATGACAGGAGGGTGGTTACTGCTGCCTGGGGTGGTGGAGCCAAGGTAGCTAGAGTCTAAACAAAGGTTGAGATCCTGAGGTCGGATGGGCCTAGACAGTGCCACCACTACCCTGTCGTCTAAAGGAGATGGAGGCATGAGGAGGCTGAAAACTGGCAATTCAAGAGGAACTCAGGAGTCTGTAAAGAAAGGGGAGAGGGAAAGAATGAGGTCATGTGACACAAAAGACAGTGTCGTCCAGTTCCTGGGAAAGACCTCTGCATATCTCTGAGGAAACTCAAAGTGGTCCTAGGAGTCCTTTATGGTGACATTATCAAAGCTTGAAACCTCCTTTGATGCATTCAGAGAGGATACAACCAGAGGGCACCCATCTATTCTGATGCTAAGTCCAAGTTAAAATTAGATATGATGTTAGAAATGTTAATGGGCGACCTTTCATGGACCCACATCAAAGTTCAGCCTCAGTGAAGATAAAGGCATGGAGAACTGGAAAAACTGAAGGGTCTGCACACAGTCATTCTGAACCTCTCCTGGGCACCTGAGACAGACCCATTTGTCCACCATTGCCATTGCATGAATGCCATTTAATTTCTTCACCCAGAGCAAAGGCAAAGAGGTGACCAAGAACATTGGCATGGCTCACAGACATGAACGGCAGCTAAATATACATCAGGGGCAGATGTCAACTTTCTGCAAATCAGAATGAATGTCTCCCTGTAGGTCAATTGCTGGGGCTAGGAGTGCTACTATTCTAAGTTTCTGTTCTTTGAAAAGCACAACACAGTCCTATGGAAGCTTCCATATGTTCCCCTTTCACTACAAGTGTCCTTAGACCAAGTCTCCAAGGAGCCAGTTCTGGGAATCCAGACTGACCCCATCAGCCATTCCCACCTGGCCCCACTCACCCCCACCAGTGCCTCTAAAGAAAGCCCATGGTCTTGGTGGTCCCTTCATCTCCTGGGATGGCACAGACTTCACATCCAAGACTTCTCCCACTTGAGGGGGCAGCTTTGTAAAAGACTTATCAGGCCTATAACTGATAGCTCTCCTGGAGACAGTATGGATTGCACGGGGAGGGCTTCAACTGGCCCCTTCAACAGATTCAGGCTAATTAGGAAGCACTGCCCACAGGGACTACCTCTGTCTTCTCTGAGGGTGCCTGCAATGGGTCACCTCCCTCCTCCCCTAGGTACAGGACCACTCTACAAGGCCTGGATGGCTCTTCTCTTTCTAAGAGACAGACGTGCACACTGAAGAAACCAAACCCCAAGCAAGAGCCACTCACCTAAACGAACTTTAAGAGCTGTCTGGAAAAATATCATCTATCATTCTTCTACACACTACCGTCACCATTCTCTGACACGGAGCCAAAGTGTCATAGGCGGAATCCGCACTCGCATACACAGGGGCATGTATCCACCACCTTGGCATATCCCTGCCGACTCGGGTTTCTCACACCCACCTTTGGATGGGAGCAAAAATCCAACCTCCAGCCTCCCTCCCTCCCTCCTTTTTTCCCTCCCTCCCTTCCTCCCTGTCTCCCTTGCGTAGTATTTTTTTGCAGAGCGGAGTACTATTCCAGAGCCATAACTTCCCGGCTGGACCGAGCAAAAGTCCTAGTTATTGTGTTACCTGGCAGGGGGCATCCAGGATCACAGCCCATTGCTTCCGAGGGGGACGCAGAAACGTGTTCCCAGAGACACACGCTGGGACCCCGGCCTCCACACGGAGCGCGCGGCTGGCACACACGCAAGGAGTGTACAGAGATCTGCATCTTTGCAGCACCGAGTCCGGGAGTGCATAGCACCGTGAAAACCATCCATCCAATCTGGCCAGGGGAAACCTCCCAGAGAAATAGCTCTATCCGTCCCCCTGCCCCGCATCCCTACTACCCTTCCTTCCTAACCTCCCTTCCACCCTTGGCTAGACAGGGGCTGGAGAGAAAATAAAGTGGTTGGAGAATACCTCTTACCAACTCCTGGGGCAATTTAGCATTCCCCTTCCTCTCTAACACAGAGCATCAGCAAAGCCCTGGGCTTTTAAAACTGCCGCAAAGCATCTTAACCAACCTTATTTTTTTTCTACACCCCCCAATTCCAGTAGACTGCAGAGAGGGAAAACGCACGGGGCAATGGGAGCCAAGAGCCTAAACCTTAGGACTTTACCTGCTCTCTCTCTCTCTCTCTCTCTCTCTCTCTCTCTCTCTCTCTCTCACACACACACACACACACACACACACACACACACACACACTCCCCCACTCCATCCCAGGCTTTCAGGAGTGGCCAGGGTGACTTCCACTTACTTCATGGATAAGCGCAGCCCTCCACCACCCGGCGCTGGGCTCCGGCTATGCGCTCTCTCAGACAGCCCCCATTCACTCAGCTTCATTGATCTCCAGCAGCAACATACTTACTTTCTCTTTTGCTACACTGTAAATGTAAGGTTCGGAGGGGGCGGGGCGGCCGCCGACCGACTGCGCGCTCGGCCAATGAGAACGCGAACAGAACCTCCCGCTACCTCACAGTGCCCCGTAGCCAATAGGCGGACGCGGGGGGCGGAGAGAGGGGCGTGGCCTCGCGCGGGGTGTGGAGGGCCGGCCCGACGCGGCGCTGGGTCCAGTGTGCTAGAACGCGGGCGGTGATGTCATTGGCAACCAATCAAAAACTTAAAAGCGCCAGCCGGGCCCGCGCGGAGCAGCTGCTCTCTATTTACATGTAAACCGAGGTTGCAGGACGGGGTTAACCCTTCCCTGGGCTGATTTGTCAGTGCGCTGCGCCGGCCGCACCGGCTGAAACTGGTTCTTCCTTGCGTGCGGGACCCTCCCATGCCCCCTGGTGCGCGGGGACCGGAGCTCGCGCGGTCTTTATTTCTCCTCCTCTCTCCGCGCAGGGGATCAGAAGTGTTGGACTAACTTTGGAAAGGCGGCCGCTCCCGGAGCGCTAGAACTTGAGTCGGAGGGCCTCGGCCGGCGCCCCCGCGTGGGCCGGGCGATGAGCGCGCGGCCAGGCCCCGCCGCCCCGGGCCGGCCTCCCCTCAGCCCCGCGCCCCGCTCGGCAGCCGGTGGCCCGCAGATGTCGCTGCCCCTCAGGCTGCCCTACGGCTCTCCCGCGCGGCGGCTGCGCGACGTGCTGCTGTTCCCCTGCTTCCCCTACGCGGTCACGCCCCCGCCATCCCCGGCCGGGTCCCCCGAGCCCGCCTCGAAGCCCGACGGCGGCACCCCGGAAATCTCGGAGGAGGAGGCTTGTCTGTGGGCCTCCGGCCACTGGCGCCGCGGCTCGGGCTCCATCCCCCAGGGCTGGACGTGCTCCGGCCGGCTGAGCGCCCCTCATGGCCCCCGGGCCCTGCCCAGACCCAGGCCGCCGCCCGCCGCGGCTCCTGTGGCTACCGGCTCCGCCTCCCCGGTCGCCGTGTCGTGTCGCCCGCTGTCCATCCGGCCGGTGCTGCTCGGCCGCCGCCCCTCGGTCGCGCAGGGCCCCCGGCGAGCCAGGGACCGCCAGGCGGGCGGGAAAGAGTCCGAGCTGAGGGTGAGCAGCACCCAGAACGAATGGCGCTGGAGGACCGTGGAGGTCGGCACACCACCTCTCCCTGTGCCCTGAACTTTGGCCATCAGAGGGGTCGCTGGGTGCTGTGTGTATCCGGGGAAGAAAAGCGGGAAGCTGGGCAAGCCTGCCAGCGCCTTGCCAGAAAAATACCAGGGAACTTGCAAAAAAGTGACCCTGGAATTCAAAGGAGTGGAAAAGCCCAGATGAACTATGAGGATGCGTCCAAGAATCCTAAAGTAATAGAGGTTTTTATATGTCCTCACCTCCTTGTACCTCAGAGAGGAAGACCAAAATGAAGTACTTGCAGTCGAATAAAGCTTTATGAGCTCCGCTAAGGTTGTGGGTTGATTGGAGGTGTTTGAAGGCATGCTTTAGAGCCCAGACCCAGTAGGTATGCAAAGCCACAGGAACGTAACATGCTTTGGTCATTGCTGTGAATGTAGGTACAGGATCTGGTGTCATCGCTGATCATCGCTGGCCAGCTCTTGTCAACTGAGCTGTGCAGCCCCATGAGAATCTTCACAATACCTGCACACAGGTGTTGCAACCTGCCTCACATGCATCTGGCCATCTTCAATAGGAAAGGATTTTGTGTAGCCCCTTTCTACCCTCACACTAAAACTCACAACTCCCACCTCCTGAAGAATGCGCATGGCTGTTCAGGATGTACCACTGGATCCTTACAACATTGAGGGCCAGCAAGGTTATGGCCAGGAATGTTGAGCTATCCGTATTTCCATAGAGGTCAGAAGCTAGATCTATTTGTAGCTCGAAGGTCATAGCCTTCCCCTGAGTACAGATAATTATTTTAAAAAAACAAATGCTCCCCTGGTCAGGGTTTGAGAGTTCTGGGTCCTGGGTCTGACTCCAGCCTGTCCAGCCAGATTCACTGTGTTCATCTGTGTGTCTGCAAAACGCCAATTCCCCAGGTGGGAAGAAAAAGGGGAAGTGCTTAGGAGACTAGGGGTGGAGAGAGGGGAGAGTCTCTGTTGATAAAATGCAGTAGGTACTGGCTTCAAAAAGGAAGAGCCTCTATCTAGAGTTTCCTACAGCCTATAAATTATGACTCTCAAACCCCAAAGGGGGAAACTTCAGAAAGAAATGTAACTCATTTAATGAGATGATTCTTTTATTACAGTTTCAAGCTAGTAAGATTAGAATTCAGTTAAATAAAAATTGTCGTCCAGCCTGAAAAATTGAGAAACGTGGCAAAATTCATCATTGATCAAACCTGAAACATGGAATATTTACCAGATCATTGACATATACAAAGATGTGGTTACTTTTTAAATTAGGAAGCTCTGAGTGTGCCTTATGCTCAAATAATAGAGAAAAAGTTGAATTTCAGGTAATTTTTCCACTCACTACTCTCCTAAGCTGCTTTTGTACAAAAGAGTGATTTTTCCTCCTATTTTGGGGTCATATTGTGAAAATATTATTGGAAACACAGCCCTTTGGTTTAAATGTATGATGTCAGTCACCCAAGGGCTGTGAACCCAATCTGTGTATACAAATAACCAGCAGAGCCTTGAGGGTCAATTTTCTTCTCAGAGAAATAATGACACATCTTCCTTGCAGTTGCAACATGCTTGTACTGGGTCACAGCTTTGTTCTGTAAACTATATTGTTTCTACCAGTGCAGTGTGTCTTGTATTAAAGCCAGAGAAAGATGAAGATCACTGTGGCCAATATACAGGGTAGAATATGAACCATGTTAAACAGCCCTGTGCCCTCAAATGGTTAAGTTACTAGGTTGGTGGCACCGTGTTGAGGTCTTCAAAAGAATCCTCAGGGTCAAGATAGATCTTTATAGATTCTGGAATTAAGGCAGAGAGAGGCTTCGAGAAGACTTAGCAGTACTAAAGCCCAGGATAAAGGTGATATCAAGCAGGAACAAGTGGAGGAATGAAATTGGGCATGGTACTACACGCCTCTAATCCCAACACTCCAAAGGCAGAGGCAGACAGACCTCTGTGAGTTCAAAGCCAGCCTGGTCTACATAGCAAGTCCAGGCCAATTAGGACTACCTAGTGAGACCCTGTCTCAAAAAAAAACCCCAAAATCAAAGCAAGCGAAAGAAAGTGAGGAATGAGCTGAGGCTTAGAAAAGTGAGGAGGCAGGCGTTAAGGTCATTGCGGTCGGCCCTCACCAGACATGGAAGCTGCCGGTTCCTCCTTGATGTTATAGTCTCAGCCTTGAGAACAGTAAGCAGTTCTGTTCTTCATAAATCACAGAGTCTCGGGTACGGGGCAATGGCAGTATGAACAGAGAGATGGAAACAGCAGCCTGGGTCTTGTGCTTCCCCATTAGCTGAAAATTGTGGCCCTGGAGGCCTGCGGATCTTCCTCACTAAACTCATGAGTAGCAAGCAAACATTTAACTCAGAAAAGGACTCTGGATGTTAAAGTTCTGTGTCTCTGTTTCATTATGGTAGCCACTTAACCACATGTGACTTTTGAACACTTGAAATGTGGCTAGTTGGAACTGAGCCGAACTGAGTTTAAAATACACACTGGATTTTGGAAAACTCATGAAACATGTAAATGATGTTATTTTTATATTGATTACTTGTCAACTTGTTTATGTTTGTAAACAGGATAAATAGAATGTTGTTAAAATTACTTTCACCTGTTTATTTTTATTTTGAATGACTAGTAGAACATTTTCAATAACTTATTCAATCTGCCTATTTCTGTTGGGTGGCTCTGTTTTAGAACCTGCTCTTGAGGCTTTGATCTGAAGCAACTCAATGCCTCACGTACCCACCCCACAATATGTTGCACTGGAAGGGGCTTTAAAGCCTCTCTAGCCTTGTGTTAGGATGATCTTGAGGGAGGCAGGACATCAATGCACGAGGGAGTGGAGACCTGCTGTGGAACTCTGTCACCACACTCTCACCTGCGTACTTGACAATAGATAGATCTATAGCTACACAGAGGGAATGTTTTATTCATGAGACTACAAAGCAACATTTCTTTTGAAGAAAGGATCCTGGTGGTTCTCTGTTCTGTTCTTTAATTTTTTTTCAATCATTTTACCTGTGAACCAGTTTGAGGCCTGGAAAATGGAGATGACATGGCCAAAGCCAGCCATATTTGACATTGGGACTTAACCCTAGACATCTTTTCAAAACTCCAGCCTCTACTGGCCACTCAGAGGTGACTGGCTGGATCAGAGAGTCATTGCTGCCTTCCCCAGTGAAGCCATCTTTCCCCATCTGCCACTGAATTCTCCCCTTGTGAGGTCACAAACACCAACTGCTCTTTGTCAGAAGGGGATTCTAGTTGACCCAAGTGTGAGACCAGTCAATAATAAGGACATAAACTTTGTCTTCATTACATATCTACTGTACCAGCCATGGGTCTCTGGCAACTCCTCAATTGGGACAGATGGCTTATTTATTGAGTCGTTATACATATCAAAAATGTCCACATTTTCCCTGTCACCAAGCTGAGCATTCCTAGGAATGATGTCTCAACTCTAAGGGCATAGTTTCAAAACTACAGGACTGGTACTGAATGTGACTGTTACTGAGTATGTGGCAGGATGCAAAGGTAGAAGGGAACCATGCGCTCTGAGCAGTGCCAATTCCCCTGGGACTTGCTTCAGAGCTCATCCAGGTTACGGGTTCTTAATCTGAAAATCCCAAAGCTAAGGTGCTTCAAAAATCCAAAACAGTTTGAACACAAATATGATGTCATAAGTAGATAATTCAAACTACAGGTGTGTTAAAAAACATTTCATGAAATTGTCTTCAGGCTATGTGTACAAGGATTATATGAAAAGAAAACGAGGAGGCTGGAGAGACGTCTTGGCAGTTAAGAACTCTTGCTGTTTTTGCAGAGAACCTGAATTTGGTTCCTAGAATCTAGACTGAATGGCTTCTAGCCACATGTAACTCCAGTTTCAG